CTTAACGTATTCTTTCGCCTGAGGTGATTTTACAAAGAAGGCGAGCACCATCCTTTGGCAGAAATCTAGGCACCCTCTCTCTTCCCTGCCCACCTAAACGTTGGTAATTGTTCTCAAAAGACAATTAAGTGTTACTTTAACCTCTCCTTCACTATGTCCGGCATTTCCTTACATCCTCAGTTACTTTTTCATCGGATTTTAAACAGCAAGTAAAAGAGATGGTATAAAGAAGTACCTCTACTGCCGCACTGGCTAGATGGAATTCAGGTAGAGGTGGTTGAATAGGACCAAAGTAAAAGCAAAGCAGTAATGCGAGACAGAAACAGGTTTATGCTCCCACAAAACTATTTTGAATCCCTTTTTTTATTAAATGACTCCGCTTTCCAGCTAGACATCTTGCGATTCGCGACGGACATGCGTGATGGCCTGTGCATTCTCCCCTCTCCAAAACACTTCCCATACTGGACGAAACTCCGCATCAATTAATGTTGCCGATCGCATGTATATTTGTGTGCCTGGAGCAAAGGTTTGACCAGAAGGACTGGCAGGGGATGTCTACGCAAAACATGAGTTGTCTGATTCTCAGGTTTTGTAACAGACTACTCGGGAGCTACGTCATTGACCCTCTGCAGGGCAGCCTTAATTTCGAACCCTACCAGTAGACCCAGCACTACCGTACATCGCCAATACATATTTCGACCTATTGTCACTTCTCCTTTTGTTTTGGGGCAACACGAAGTGTTTGTGAGCAGGAGACTGTGCATGTAATGTTGCCTGTCAGAGATAAGTGCATGAAAGTTTAGGTGACCATGTATCCATTATCGTCCCTTCAACAAAATCTACTGGCTAATGGCCGTTGTTTAAATGAACCACGTTGGACTTACTTTAAATATCAACTTGGCAATTTTATGTCCCTTAGACACAGTCTCTGGGATTTGTACTTTTGATTTGCCATAAACATTGTCTTCAGGCCTCCCTGTTCATGATTAATAGACCTCTCCAAGCATGAATTAATACGACCCTGATACGCCACAGATGGCAATGATGAACTAAACAGGTTTAAAATGGTGGATGCAAGGATTCTCTAGCCCATTGGCAGGCCGTAACACTTCAGAAGTAAGGCATCTACTGTGGGTGCTGACGTTAGCATCACCGGACGTGGATGAGTTCATCCGTTCACTGTGTGGCTGTCTATGATACCTCCAGAAGGGGATGTAGAGTGCGCAAACAGATTTTGCCACCTCAAACCTCTCTTGGCTAATGATTGCTCTCACGAACAACTAGGAAGCAGTGCAGTGATCACATAGCTGCAAGAATGAAGAGGTGACAGCTATCATCTCAAGAGAGCGACATTATGTCACTGGTACTTAACCTATGCTTTCCTGTGAAGAGCCACAAGCCATTGTGCAGCATCAACCAGTCTTGGATTGTGCGAAATCAGCATTCCTCCTTCTTTAATACTGTTTACGAGGAGCAGAGATGTAGGGAAGTAGAAGTTTCAATTCTGATAAAACTGACGTGAATTACTAAGGATGCTGGGGTCAAATGTCCCCTCAACAGCATTAAAATTTTGACAACTGTCTAGCCTAACTAGTCAGCACTTATTCAACACAGCCACCCATGTTGCTGTGACCGATGGATGAAAGTGACCACGGTAGCTATGTGAACACTTCACTCAGCGCAGCTTGTTCTTCTGTCTTCCTGTAATGTTATCTCGGCCTTGTGTCTAATCGTCCAGCCTTTTGTTAGGCCGACAACACTGCTTTACATGGGCTTGGTTATTAGAAACAACTTGGCAGACCAACTTGATAATACAAGTCAGTGGAAGTGGCTGTTACAATAACTGAAGCATCGTCACTAGATATAAGAAGACGTAATTATTAGGAAGAAGGATTGTTGCTAACTTGTAAAACAGCACCTAGAAGGGACCACATGTCTAGGTTAAAGAGGCTGCATAACTGGGCACCGTGGAAAGCTTGAATGTCATTGGAGAGCCTCATAGCCATTATTTTGCCACAATGGTGGTTAAATTCATGAGCAGAGGTAATGATGCGAATTCTTAGCAAGAGGAGAATATTGTAATTTCGATCACTGCACTTCCTGTCTAACAAGCAGAATCAGAGGAGACCTCATTTAAGAGCTGGCAGATATTCCACACTGACCGTATTCTCTCTAGCACTATCATTCCGTGAAAGCAGCTACAATGCAACAGCAGGAGAGAAGGGGGATCTCATCTCTCTTGAACCTATAGTAAATAGCTCTGTTTGTGGGGAAGTTGTTGACGATGTAATTTTGCTGGTAATCCTTTCCTAAATCGTCGCGGATGCAGTCGCCTACAGCGGAAGGCCGCCTTCTGTGATATTCAGCCAAAAAATCAAATTTTTTCATTATTCGCATCAACCTAACTAAACACTGCCATTCCTTTCTGAGAAGAGGTCGATGTGTGTAGTTATAAAATGATAGCATGGTGTGGAAGAGCATGTGCAACTAGTCTACGGAAAGACTAGAGTGTTTCTAGAACTTACTGAACGACATAATGTAGATATAGAGTACAACCCGTGGAGTTGGAAGGCTTGCATAGTTTATCAAGAGCTTCAGCCTAACGCAATTTCCTTGCTCCATTCTCTGTTCTTTTCTTTACTTCAGTGTCATCCCCAACCATCCCATGTTCGTTTTTCTGTCTCGCCTATCACAATACAGTCGGTTCTTGCGCAACCACTACGAAGCACCAACGCCAGTCATTTCATCATCTTGCATGTG